CAAAATCTCGCCCAATTTACGTCCGTACGTACAAATTTGTACTACCGTACTGTACTACTTTACTAACTACCTGTTTAGGTCCGTACGTACAAATTTGTACTACCGTACTGTATTACTTTACTAACTACCTGGAAAATAAAATAGCAAGATACGTATAATTACGGCAAATTTAATTGTTGTTATTAATTTATTAATCTATAATATACTTGGAAATGAATTGCTGCATAAATAAATGCATCATTTTAAATTATATAAAGCTTTGATGTTTCCTTATAATCAACTTTTTCTCGAATTCCAAGCATATATTTGATTTCAATGCCGCTAAAATTTTATTTCATTTTTACTATTGCTCTGGCTCTTTTTTTAATTGTTACAATCGATCATGTATTTGTAAACGCTGGTAAATGATAAAACAGTGCTTACATTAATCTATTGTTAAATCTTTAATTCATATATATATATATATATATATTAGATGATGGTGACGGCAATCCATGTTTAAAATGCCCAATGCAACCGAAAGGTGGATGCGACAAGCAATGCAATGACGATCAAGTTTGTATTCTAACTGAAAACACTTGTTCTGAGTGTGCAAAATGGACTTGCCAACCTAAGAATGATCCGAGTAAATTATTATCAAGTTACATTTTTAAAGCATTTGTTTTCATTAATGAGTAGTGTTCAACTTGTAATATTATTTTAGAATGCGTTACATGCCCTGAAACTACATGTACACCATGCGACAATACCTCTGAACTTTGGGTTCAGAACCGTTCCTGTTATTCTTGCGGAGACTCTCGTTGCGTCAAATCTAAACGTAAGCAATATGACTTATCTCCGTTCTCATTTTACTTATTATCTATTGACTTATGCGTAATTGTCCTTCTCTAATGATAATTGACTCGAACAAATGAAAATATTAGAATGTATCATTTGTACCCAAATATATCCATCATGCGTCGACCAATGTCCTCTTAATTATAAGTGTCATGTTTGGAAACAAGATTGTTTTACATGCGCTCAAGCTAGATGCATTCCTGAAAATTATAATCCAGAAGGATAACGTCCATTTGTCTTTCATCCCCTTTCATTTTCTTTCATTTTGCAGAATTATATTACTTAACACAGATTCATACGTAAGTGCATATATAAAACAAACAAAAAGTTAATCAAAAAAATAAAGAAAATTATTACCGATTAGGTAAATCAGATTGTAAGCGAATGTGAAATTTTAGTACAGAATCTATTACCTGATCCTAACCCTAAAAATTGTTTATGCAAAATTATTTTTCTGAAAAATTTTTCGATTCCTAAGACATGTATACTCTCCCTATGAATGAGCTGTGCATAGTGCTCCTAATCGAACGGGTTTGTACTGAACAACCCGTTTGAAGACCCGACTCTATTTGATTAATACATGACTTGAGTTAATTGGGCATATGTGATTATGCAAATAATTCAAAATAAACTATCGCTACGTAATAAATCCGAGCATACACGTGTGCTTTAAGGTCTTGGTTGGATGAAATATAAAAAAAATGCATAGCAGTGCGTGTTGAGAAGAAAATTGTAAGGTAAATAAAGTAGATGGCTGGAGCGAGGTCCTTAAGAATATTAATCTATTAATTCCTATAATTTAGTTTAAATAGAAAGATTTTAATCTTTAAAATTCTATGATCGATTTATTTCAATCGCTATTATTTATTAACAAACCTGATCATAATACAAATTCTTAATAAGGTAATAGTACAGACTTCTACTTTAATAGATATTACTAATCGTTAAACTATGTATATATTATAAAATCCTGACTTTTTCTTGATGATTTCTCTTTTGGTTGGATTTACTTACTTCACAAATTTATTTACTCTTTTTACTCGATTACCCAATTACTTGATTAACAATTTCAAAATATATTACTCTATACTCAATAATGAATCCATACTCTATTTCTGTAATCCATTACTGGTTACTAGAGTAGCATTACTCATCTAAAAATACAATATCATATTCCATTTAATCTTCAGATGCTTTAATAAGTGTCCCGATCTAAGTTTTTATATTGATTTTTTTTGAATGATTGATCTTT